ATACAGGTGGGATGAAAATAGCCAACATGTGTGTCTCTTCTATCTGGGGACATTCATCTTCCATGACTCCCCAAAGGTGTTGGCTTTGCCACGTGTGCAGCTGGAGCCACTGCCTGAACTGCAGCAAGACTAATGCAAACCTCATGATGGGTGTTTCTTGTCAAACAAGGTGGTCTCATTGTAACTGGCCTATGTTCTCAAGCACAAAGAAGGAGAAAAGTGAAATCTAAAATATCTTTATTTTTATCATCTTGGTATGTTCAAAGGGTTTTTCTCTCCATCTTCCAATTACGGTTAACTTGCATTAATTAATTAATTTATTTAGTTTTCATCTCCCTAGTATATGTCATGATCATTAGGTCTTCTACCACACATACAACTGGCACATCAGACCACAGTTTGCACTGTCAGCTCCTATGAGTGAAATATATTGCACTCGCTGAGCTGTCCTGCTTTTGCCTTTGTAGCAACTTTTAGGCCACAATAACCATCATCCGTTTAAAGGAGGCTGATCCATTACGTTTCCTCTGTTCCTAGAGCTCCACATTAAGCTAATATTATCTATTTCCCAAGTGAAAAGAGTCCTTCCAGTCCTATCAATTATTAATTCCTTGCTTGCAGCTAATGTTTTCTTTAAATTATTTAAATGCATCTTCATTTATCAATAAACATAAAATGTTAAACAAAGAATACTGATGAAGGGCATTATTTAAGCTATAACATTTTATGAGATTATTTCAAGCGCCTTTTCTGATTTATTAACACAATATATTTTATAATTATTTTTCCATTTCTAAAAAAAATTGTTCTGGGTATCATCTAGAGGTTTATAGATTTTGTGAGTGTTCTCAACTACTGTGATTTTGACAAGTTTCTCTTAAAATATTTTTAGATGTGTCTACGTATGCATATATATATGTATTTGTGCCTTTATATGTGCACACAAATGTGTATATATATAAAAGTACAAATGTATATATATATATATATATATGTATATATATATATAAAAGTACAAGAGGTTTTTTTTGTTTACTAATATACATGTTCATTTTCCTTGATTTTATTCTTAAAGAATTAAGGGTACCATTAAGTATAAATATTCTGTTGTGAATTCTATAGCATTATATTCAGCAATGCATTTTTGTATGGATTCATACACACAAACACACAGACATGAATTAGGCAAGTAGGCAAAGAACTACGCCCTTTGAGAGAGAAAACTATCAATGAGGCACATGAAGAATAAAATTGTCTATCATTCATTATTCTTTTTAAAATTTTGGCAATAAAACCCACATGAGCACATCTGCACACAGACTTACACAAATTAATCCTACTTACCTATATTCTCTTTTGTTTCCAAGCTTTACAATCCAAAATAAAATTTGGGCTGTTGAGAAGTCCAGCTATAATATGACTTTATTTTTATTCTATAGCATTATATTCAGCAATGCATTTTTTATGGGTGTTATAAAACTAGTAACACCTTCTAAAATAGAATGAAACTGAATATTCTAAAGTAAATATTCCTGGTAAGATAAACTAGAAAAATCAAGTCTTTGTGCCTACTTAAAAAAGACTTTTAAGGTAATAATTAATATAATTATCCAACCCATGCCTCTCTTTGGCCTCTTCCATTGACATTTACTTTAAAACAATGGTATCCTTAAGATACTATGAAATTGGTATCAGTGGATCCAGTCAATTCTTTCTTTAGAGAGCTCTGAATTCTCTGCTGAACCAAATTATCCCAAATAATCCCCATAAATTTATAATAGTGTGCTATGATAAAATACGGATGTATTTTAATGATAGTTACAAAATTATCTTAAATATCCAAGATGCTTTGAAATATCTAAGATTGTTTAATTCATAGCACTCAAAAAGAATTCAAATAATTCATTGTATGCTATCCCAGCAATATAGTTTTAAGTAGGCAAAGATGTTGGAAGTCATATAGTCCAAGCTCTACTCAATAAAAATGAAGAAACAGATCTAGAAATGTTATTGACTTGCCCATGGTTATAAAACTAGTAACACTCACTATTAAAGTTCATAGGTGTTGAGTTTTTGCTGTACTTACTTTAGAGAAAACTATATATTTCAAATTGTATATATAGTATATCAAAATTGCTTTAGGTTGAGATTCAACAATTTTTTAAGTCTGTCACAACAACTATCAATATATTAAGGTTGTGATTGTATAAACAAAATTTTTGCAAACGAAAGTGTATCAAAATTCAGGTACTGGTAAGAAATCATGGTGTCCATTGTGAGCATCTGTAAGTCTTTAAATTGTAGAACACAAGGTTCTATAAATTATTAAGTGACATAAACTCGGGATAAGCCCTAGGCAAAATGTGAACTAAGGGAGATAGTTCTCTTATGCCCTAGTCTTTTCGTTTGAAAACAGTAACTGATCTTAAGACAATAGCTGATAATTGCTTATACTTGTTACCTGGAGTTAAGGCATTTTAAGTACCAGGTGTCTGGCACTATCCTGGACCCTTTAAGCAGATTATTATAATGATTCCTAACAGCACCATTTCAGCCAGATTTTATTATTTCTGTTCTATAGATGGGAGAAACCACACTCAAAGAGATGAAATTATTTTCCTGAGGTGATTTAACTGGTAGGGAAATCCTAAAGTCCTTATTTTTCCACTAAAAATCAGTGGAGAGAAATTAAAGAGGTTTTTACGGTTTCATTTTTTAACAGTCTTATTTTATTTTTATTGAAGTTTAATTGATATATAATATATCAGTTTCAAGTATACCATGAAGTGATTGGACAGTTTTCTACATTATTTAATGTGTTCACCCATAAGTGTAGTTACTATCTGTCAACACGTGAAGATACTACAATATTATTGACTATATTCTGTATGCTGTACTTTCATCCCCATGATTAATTTATATTATGATTGGGATTTTGTCCCCTTCACCTGCTTCACCCACTGCTGTTCCACCTTCCCCATGCAAACCACCAATCTCTGTGTCTATGAGTCAATTTCTGTTCTGTTCATTTGTGTATGTTTAAGATTCCACATATAAGTGAAATCATATTGTATTTGTCTTTCTCTGCCTGACTTCACTTAGCATAATATCCTCCAGGTCCACCATGTTGTTGCAAATTGCAAGATTTTATTCTCTTTATGGCTGAATAATATTCCATTGTGTATATGTATCACTTCTTCTTTATTGTAAATAATGTGGCAATAAACTAGGAGTGCATGTATCTTTTCAGATTAGTGGCTTTATTTTCTCTGGGTAAATTCCCGGAAGTAGAACTGCTGGATTGTATGTTACTTCTATCTTTAGTTTTTTGAGAAACCTTCATAGCTTTCCATATTGGCTGAGCCAATTTACGTTCCCACCAACAGTGTAGGAGGGTTGCCTTTTTTTCTTCCAGATCCTTGCCAACACTTACTATTTCTTTTCCTGGAGATGCCAGTGGCAAATGGCCTGTCACATGATATAACTGTTTCAGTCTGATCAGAGGCCCATAAATGTAGCCACAACTCTTGTTACCAAAGGGGTCTGTGACCAACCAATCAGCTGGCATGGTACCATGTCAGTAGCCATAGAGTCAAGCCTTGAGAGACTACCCAGCCGTCAGTGCAAACAACTAGTGAGGAGGGCACCTGGGTGATCACGAGAGCTCTGCCCATTGGCTGCTCCTCCCCTCACCATCTTCCATCCATATTGTCTCAGTCCTAGGATGGAAAGCTATAGCTATTTTGGGGCTGCCCATGGATGGAGCCATCTGTGTATTGTGTATCTTCAGTATAGGGGTTTTCCCCTCCCAATAAGGGCTCTCTGTTACTAATGGCTATAAAGCAAATTCTTCTGCCTTTCTCTGGTATAAGTCACTGGCCCCAATAAGCATTGGAGTTCTTCACTCAAGGGGCTAGTAGAAAGGGCACTACACTGCTATAGGTATGCACCCCACTTGGCCAGTTTAGGTGTCTGTGCCATGCCACTCCATGGCTTTTGGGTCCAGTCTCATACTAACCCCATGATGGGATAGGTGGTTCTAACCTGTATCAGGGCCATTCTGGTGTTGGACTCTGTAGGAGCAAGGCATGGTTCATGGCAGCTAATTGTTTCTCTGTGAAGATGTGCTGTATTCTGTGCTCCTTACTAGAGCTGTGCCCAGAATCCAATAGTTGGCAAGTTTGTTCAAGCTGCTGCCAGAGACACACCAGCCGTAACTGTCTTTGGTCATGTGGCCATCCAACTCACAGGGTCTTGATGAGCCTATCACACTTAAGGCCTGCAAGTGCTTGATGGCCCATTTTGCAGGAGAGCAAATGTACATGTCTCATCCCAGTCCCACCCGATGCCCCTTTGCACCAAATGGTGTAAGAGCTTCAGAATTTGCCCCAAGTGCAGGATAAACACTTTCCAATAGCCAGAACACCTCAAAACTCTTGTAATAGTGTTACAGTTGTCTGTAAGAGAATCAGAAGCATAACATCATACAGGGTATATTCTTTTGGGGGTAGATGCTCTATTTGCAATGGGTTTTGGGCTTGTTTCACTCTGATAGCCTTACCCCTGTATCCGTCTATAACAGCAGAGTCCTGGGAAACTGCTCAGGGTTGCCATAAATCAGTGAGCATTCAGCACCTGTGTCTGCCAGAGCCAGGACACATTGTATATTCACTGGGGACCAATGAATTGATATTTCAACATGTGGCCTCCAATCCCCACCTGTCCCTCAGGGTGGGTACCTCCACCCTCCCCTTAGTCAAACCATATTGCCCAATTATCTTCCTATGCAGGTCCAGGTGAGGCCCGCTCACTCTCTAGTAGGAAGTCTTGCAGGCACACAGGCTGGACTTGTGACTTTGTCTCTGGCTTCTGTTTCTTGGTCCTCAGTGGCAAAAAACCACTGCTCTAGCTTCAATTGTTGCCACAGGGCCAGTAAGATTCTATATGACTTACCATCCAGTTTTTCTTTGTCTGCTCTTATCCCTATCAAGTCAACTCACATCTCGGTCCTGGTGACCTTCACAGGGCCCCTTAAGCTCTTCCTCTCAGTAGTGAGCCACACCCCATTCTGTGCCTGCATTGTTTTAGTCTCTCCCAAATCTACCACAGTAAGGGTAACCTTGTTAATGGGTTTCCCTAAGTGAGTAGTAAGAATGGCCACTAAGGGCCCAAAGAGAGATGAGGGAGCCATTTGTAGCACTGTATCCCTCATCCCCAAAGTAAACAGCTCCTGGTCCAGGTCGTAATTTACTGGGTCATAAAGAGCAATTTTCATGCCCAACTTCCATAATGTCTGTTGGAGCTCAGCATACGTCTTCCATCTAGCGGGGGAAGGCGGTAAGTCACCCTGACTGGGGCATGCAGTGTGAGGAGCAGCACTCAGCCATTCAAGAAGGGAATGATTCCCTGGGGTCTGGTATGCATTTTGCAAATCAGGGAAGCCAACTTTCCCATCTCTGATTCAGACAGGAGGATACTATTCACCCCTACATCTCAAAAGTGCAGGAGCCAGGCTGATATGGACTCTGAAGTTTCTGCCAAAACTAGGATACCAAATCCATCAGCTTTTCCTGGGTATAGGGGCAGAACATGGAGTGCGCCACAACCTGGGAAGGGGCTGCACTTCTCTTGGAGGAACCCACAGTTGCTGTGTCTTTACTTGACTACAACTGGGTGGGATTTCAATGGAGAAAGGGTTGGTACCTCTGGCACCACCTCTACCTCCTCATTCTCCCCCTGCTTCTCAACCAAGTTGATGGCAGCTTTCTCACCACTCCACAGTGTCTCCTCTGCTACATCCTTTACATTCTCTGCAATGCTTCACCAATGCTTCACAGCAACTCTCTCAGTCTTCAACAACTCTCTTACCTTCTCCTCAATACCTTGCAACTCATGTTCTTGCACTGCCTCTTCTTGTGCTTCTCACAGGGGCATGCCCTTTCCCCCCCGGCCTTTACCTCTTCCAAAGTGTCTCACAGTGCCTCCATCTCCATCTTCAACAAATCTCTTACCTCCTCCACAGCACCTCACAGCTTTCATTCTCATGCTTCTTGCAAGAGTATGTCACTCTCATCTATAGTCTTTTTTAGCACTATGAGAAACAGCCAACCTGTAGTTCCTGCCACCACATGGGCACTCTGTTTCTCCAAGGAATTCCCTGTTTTGCAGAGGGCCACCTCTACTGTCTAAGTCATTACCTCCACCTCCTCCAATTCCTAGGGCGGAGCTCAATCCTCTAGAAGGAAAGCTACCTTGGCACATATACCCACTGGGAGATACCCAAGTATCCCCTCACCTATGGGCAGTCCATTCCATTGAAGTACCCCTCCCATAAGGGCAGCTTATTCCATTCTTCGGTCTGCAGCAAATCCTGGTGACTATGCCAAAATGTCATGCAGGAAAGTTCCAGTTTTGGGCAAGTTCACTCTGGATTCAGTGAGACTGAATAACAACAATGGAATCTTTGGGGTAAAAGGCCTTATACCAAGTTTTATTCATGCTGACAATTCAAGTGCTAGAATCCTGTGCACATCTGGCAAGTCTGCAAACCATCTCTGCCAGACACACAAAGCACTGTGTGGAGCTCTTTATATAGCAACACAGCTTATAAAGGCTCATTGCCAACACATGTTCAAGCATAGATCTATAAAGCAGGCCAATTACATAATTGCATGTATGCAGTGGGCAAGTAGTTAGGGTAAGGTGAGGATCCTGGCCATTGGAACTTCTGTTTTCCCAGAGGTGAAAAGTTATTGAGGTTTTATTTTGCATTTCTCTGATGATTAATGATGTTGAGCATCTTTTCATGTGCTTGTTGGCCATCCTTATGTTTTCTTTGGAAAAATATCTGTTCTGGTCCTCTGCCCATTTTTTAGTTGGGTTGTTTTGTTTTGTGTTTTGGTGTTGAGTTATATGAGTTGTTTATATATTTTGGATATTAGTCCCTTACCAGATGTATCGTTTGCAAACATATTCTCCCATAGGTTGCCTTTTCATTTTGTTGATGGTTTCCTTTGCTGTGTTGCAAAAGAAAGTCCAAGCTTTTTAGTTTGATGTTGTCCCACTTCTTTATTTTTGCTTTTGTTTCCTTTGCTTGGGGAGACGTATCCAGAAAATTACTGAGACCAGTGTTCAAGAGATTCCCATGTATGTTTTCTTGTAAGAGTTTTTTGGTTTCATGTCTTACATTTAGGTCTTTAATCCATTTTGTGTAGATTTCTTTGTATGGTGTGAGACAGTGGTCCAGTTTCATTCTCTTGCATGTAGCTGTCCAGTTTTCCCAACACTATTTATGGAGAGACTGCCTTTTCCCCATTGTTTATTTTTGCCTGCTTTGTCATATATTAATTGACCATATAGGCATGGGTTAATTTCTTGGATGTTTATTCTGTTCCACTGATCTGTATGTCTGTTCCTGTATCAGTATCATACTCTTTTAATCACTGTGGCTTTGTAGTATAGCTTGAAATTAAGGAGCGTGATACCCTCATTTTAGCAGCTTTATTAAAGTATAATTACATACAAAGAAATATCACATATTTAAAGTGTAAAATTTGGTACCTTTTGACAGATGTATATTCTCATGACATGAGTATCCTAGTTAAGAAGAGTAAAAATAATTATCATCTGTATAATCCATGGGTCAATTTGGAAAAAGTTGACAGCAATATTGAATTTTTCTATCCATAAACTAGGTATATTTCTCTAATTATGTAGGTCATCTTTAACTTCAGCAATGTTTTGTAATTTTCAGGCTACAGATCATGCACATTTTTTGTCTGATTTATCCCTAATTATTTTCATATTTTTGATGCTATTGTATTTTAAAATTTCAATTTCCCATTGTTTCCAATTTCTATACATACAAGTAAAATTGATTATTCACTATTGATCTTATAAACTGTAACTCTGCTAAGCTTGCTTATTCATTCTATTAGCCTTTTTATAGATTTCAGTGGATTTTCAACAAAGATGGTCATGTCACATGTGAATAAAAACAGTGTTACTTCTCTATATCTAATTTTGATGCTTTTTATTTATTTTGTTTGCTTAATTATACTATGTAGAACCTCTAGTACAATGTTGAATAAAGTGGTAAAGACATCCTTGTCTTGTTCCGGATCTTAGAGGGGAAACATGTAACTCCTCATCATTAAGTATATTGCTGGCTGTTGGGTTTTGTTTTTTGTTTTGTAGATGTCATTTATCAGACTGATGAAGTACCTTGTATTCCTATTTTGCAGGAAGTCTTTATCATAAATAGGTCTTGGATTTCCTCAAATGCTTTATCTATACCTATTAAGAAGGTCAGATGGTTATTTCACTTTTACTCTGTTAATATGGTGAATTATATTGATTTAAAGCACTCCTGCATTCCTGAAATAAAAATTCACTCTGGAAACTGAGGAGAGTATTCAAGATGGCAGCGTGAGAGGTGAGATGGAGAATTCCTCCCAAAATCACAAATAGTACAAAAATATAGTTAATTAATACAACTCACCCTAGAACAGCATCAAGAAAGAAGGCTGAGCCAGACTGCATAAAGACCTCACAAACAGAGCAGATCTCATGACACAGGGTAATGTACGAAAGCCTTAATCTGGAGGGACCAAAGCCCTACCCCCACCCCCAGCTCACTGTCGGGAGGAAGAGAAATGGAACTGGGGAGGGGGTGGAAGCCTAGAACTGCTGAACACCTGGCCATGGAGGTCTGCTTTGGTAGCAGAAACCTATACTATGTGGTGCTCTGGACGTTGGGGAGCTTGGACAGATAGAGCACTTGAGAGACTGAGATTCTGGCTATTTGTGGAGGACAGGGATCCATACCCGGCCGCTCTGGGACAAGGGAAAGGCAGGCAGTCTAAGAGGCTTTCTAGCAGCGAGAGGGCTGCTGAAGGGGTAGGGTTTTCATGGAGCTTGCTGCGTGGGGGAGGGGAGAGCTGGACAAGGTTGTCTGGGTGCACTCTGCACAATTGGTTGGGAACTTTGAAGAGCTTCAGGCGCCCCATCCACCTGGCTGCCTATGCAGCTTCGAGGCTCCCACAGTGACATGCAGCCTGCTGCGTCATCCTCCTAGCCTGCCATCACCAGTTCGCAAACCTGCAGTCACTGTGCTGGTGTCAGCCACCTAGAGACTCAAAGCACAGAGGCTTACATGTGTGTGCTTGGCTCACTGGCTCTGACACTGGAGACAGGCCCCACATATGAGAATCAGGAAACAGATTATTCCTCCTCACAGGCACCAGCTCCATTCCCCTATGACCCCCAACCTCACTCTAGGGCCTGAGCAGCTCCAGAGACTGGAGCTTCTGGGCACGAGTGGGCACCATACAGAAATATGAAACATCAAAAGAACATGGTCCAGACCAAACTCTCACAAACCCCAGAAAAAGGGTCAAATGAAACTGAACTCACCAATCTGCCTGAAAGAGAGTTCAAAATAAAAATCATAAACATGCTTATGGAGGTACAGGTAAATATTCAAGAACTCAGGAATCAATTTAAGTCATAGATTCAATCTTTAAGAAATTCCATATCTGAAATGAAACATACAATGGAGGGATTTAAAAGCAGATTAGATAAAGAGGAATAGACAGAAAATGGAATAGAAATTAGAGAAGAGGAATAGAAAGAAGGTATGGCACAGAGAGAAAAAAGAATCTCTAAGAATGAAAGAATATTGAGAGAACTGTGTGACCAATCCAAATGGAACAATATTTGTATTATAGGGGTACCAGAAAAAGAAGAGAGAGAAAAAGGGATAGAAAGTGTCATTGAGGAGGTAATTGCTGAAAACTTCCCCAATGTGGGGAAGGAGATAGTCTCTCAGGCATGGAGGTGCACAGATCTTCCAACACAAGGGGGCCCGAGGAAAACAACACCAAGACATCTAATAATTAAAATGACAAAGATCAAGGATAAAGACAGACTTGTAAAGGCAGCTAGAGAGAGGAAAAAGATCACGTACAAAGGAAAACCAATCAGGCAATCATCATACTTCTCAACAGAAACCTTATATGCCAGAAGGAAGTGGCATGATACATTTAATGCAATAAAGCAGAAGGGCCTTGAACCAAGAATACTCTACCTGGCAAGCTAATCATTTAAATTCGAAGGAAGGATTAAAGAATTTTCAGATAAGAAAAAGTTGAGAGAATTTACCTCCCACAAACCACCTCTACAGTGCATTTTGGAGGGACTGCTATAGATGGAAGTATTCCTAAGGCTAAATAGATGTCACCCAAGGAATAGACAAAGAGTACAGAATATTATTCA